TGTGGATCATAGCGATTGCTGCGCGCTACAAGGAGTGTCCACCAAGTGTTTACCATTGTGCTCAGGTCTGTGAACAGCTTTCTGCTTCTAGTACTCTTGGAAAACCATGTGGTTTCTAGAACTAAACATATAAATAATCGAGTTGAATGATTTTTACTTCTTACAGGAGACTCTTTCTCCACGGATGTGGATTGCACACCATTTGCAGTGAAAATCATGGAATGCTTCGTACAAGGTCATGAAGGAAGTCCAGAGCCAGTCAGAAACGTTGACTATGATGTTCCAGAAAAAGGAAAGCTTAAGGTAGGTAGTTATTCTTAATTCTTTTGCGGATCGACGCGTAATCCCAAATCATAGATATTTCCAATTCTTCTGTTAATTCATGTTCTATGTTCATAACGAGATATCTCTATATTGCAAGATTTCCTTGGGAATAGCTGATACAATTATATAAGCTACCAAGTGATATCAGAAAAGTGAATTGAATTTCCAACTTTTTTTTGTAAATTCCAAAAATATGTTTGTTAAGAGGGTGTGGTGCTTGAAATAAAGCACTTCATATATTTTGAAGTTGAAAGGAGTGTTTAACAAGAGTCTCTTTCATTGTAATGGAATGACCCATAAAAAACACATTTAACTATTTTAGGGCTTTAATTTGCGTTTGTAAGAAAGCTTGAAGTATAAAATTGTCATTTCAGATCACTTGGGACGACAGTGATTCCGCCGAGACTTATAAATATTATGCTGTATATTATAAAAAGAAGGACGAGGATGGAGAGTACAAGGTAATTTGCTTGTCTTCAATCTGCAACAAGCACTCAGAGTACTTATCGACTTAATATCCCTATTTAGATTGAGAAGGTAGTAGCACGCTCGGTTGAACTCCAAGTTGAACCGGATACTGCATACGACATCGGCATAATTTCTGCTAACGCTTTTGGCCACAGCCCCCTGGTTTTCCTAGATGTTCCCTCTACAGGTGTTGGTAAGTCTCCATAATCTAAAGGCATGAGGTCATGCACTTTACTCGTGTATAAATTCCCTTTGAAGGCAAATCTCATTCGTCCAGTGGCGGCTCATCAGCCTTCTTTATCTTCCTGCTTTTAGTATGCTGTGGCTTGGTTATCATAGGTGAGAAAATGCCCTAAAATGCTTTGTGACTTCTTTAAGGTAATTCAATTACCTAATTTAGGAATAATTTATCTTGGACGACGACGCGATCTTCCAGCTCCATTTGGAAAACTTGTGCGAAGGCAGCAACCTGCACGAGGAGGTCCATCGGTGGCCTTTGAGAATCCGGCCTATGGTAAACTTTAGAGACTTTTTCTGCTTTCAAAGTGTTATCTCACTGTTTTTAGTGTCCGGCCATGAAGTCGAGATCCGAGGACTTGGAGGTGGTGGTCCTGCTAATGGTGACACTGAGTGGCAAAGTCAAGATCTACAAGCTTC